CTAAAACTATACACAACGTCAAGTCAAGTCAAATAAAGGCGTAAAGAAATAATAAGAGAAAAGAAGCAAACAAGAAAAACCCGGACCAAGAAAAGTGGTAGTAGGTGGTGGTAGCAATACACAGTGCCGCTTAGGGGGTCGTGGTCATACTAAAAACACAGGGCGCCGTCGCCGGCCTTTCCACCCATCTCGGCCTCGCAGTTTCGTGTGTGGTAGGCGGAGGGAGATCGGTGGGAAGGTGGGGGAGAGGGCCAATAATAATAAGATATACGATAGATACGTCGGGGCGGGATAGAAGGGTGCATGCCGTATGTCCTCGGCGCGCGGGGGGTAGTCGGTGCCTCGTCTCAGTCCTAGGCGCAAAGGGGGCGGCGAGGGCAAAGCGATAGTAGGGATGTGGATGGTGAAGCGCTGCTGGGGCCGGGTGCGAGGTTGGGGTAGGGTACAGGTGCAAGGACGAGAATAATAATAAAAACGCCAATAATATACTTCCGCTCCCTCCGCTCATCGCCTCCGTACTCCTCCGCTTCTTCTTCTTTTCTTCTTGATTGCGATGTGATGATGGTACAGATATGCCGAATTCGATATTGCTGTTATGCTTGCTTGCTTTGCGTGTGGCGCGAGAGCCAGACGCCCGTCTAGTGAAACCCAAAAAAAGGAAGGGAGCCCGAGAGAGATGATGAGGATGACGACGGCGTGGAGAGGGAGATGGAGGGGGACATAAGAGATGGGCGGGAGCCACTTTTGGGGTACAAGAAAGGGGCCAAGCACGCCAACGCAAAGGCGTATATACAAGAAATGAACCGGGGTTGGCTAAAAACACAGTGCCAATGCACACCGGTGGGAGTTGTCGGGCGCTTGGGGTCCGGGGCCGGGGGAGAGCTAGGTCCATGGTGATGGACAGATGGGACACTCTCCCCCGGGAGAGATGATATCAATGGGTGCCGCCCAGCGCCTCCATCAAGCGGAGGGGCGGTATGGCACGCGGAGCCCCAGACTGCGGTGGTGTGTGCATGTGGGGGTGATGAGGTGAAAGGGGAGTTCGTTGAGTGCGCGGGTGTCCTAAAGCGATATATCCAATACGAAGTACGTGACCGAAAAAAAAACTGCGAGGGAAAACAATGCGAAGTCTAGTTTGCATGAGAGATGCGTTTTCCCGTAGTGTGAGGCATGAGACTGAATAGATAAGAATAAAAATAAGTTCCATGAGAAGGGAAGATTTCGAGCGTTGGTGCGAGGAGCGGATGCAGGGGAGGCGTGGATATACTCCTCAAGAGCAACGAAACAACAGCACAGCATCCACACAACACACCAACATGATAGAACGGAACCCACCTCACTCAAACGAACAGCGGATCAGGCAACTCCTCTGGACTGGGCGAGTTCTGGAACACGGAACTCGCGAAGTAGCCTTGCATCTGCGCCTGTGCTTGGGCCTCATACATCCCCTCCCTCTGTGCCGGGGGTGGCGTACGCATCCCGCTCCTGGCAAGTGCCATGTTCCGCACCAAGGCACGGAGCTCCTCGTCGGCGGTGCTGTTGCTCTCCGGCCCGGACTCGTCCGAGCTCATGTTGAATACCATACCGCTGTCGCTAGGTGCGCGCTTGTGGTTACGACCGGGGCGGCCGTTCTTATTAGCGACGGATGGAGGCATGAAGGGCGGGGGTTTCGAGTGAATGTGGCGGGGAGCGCGAGGACGAGTGGGGGTGACCGGAGATGGTGGAGCATGGTCGGCGTCGGAGATGTCACCCGCCTCGGTCATATCGTCACAGATAGGGAAATCGAAGGCGGGCAGGAGGGCAGAGTTGTGCGTGAGGTTGACGGTGCGCTTGGCGGGACGGTGGCGGGGAAGAGGGACCGAGCGCGAGACGGGTTTGGCGGACTGATTGTTGGTGGTGGTGGGGATGGAAACGGGCTGGGTCTGGGGCGGCTGTAATTGGCGCCTGCGTGCGAGTTTGCCTGAAGGACGGGAAGAAAGCGTAGGAGACTGGACTGATACGAGAAACGGATCAGAGTTGGAAGTTGAATTCGGTTTGGTGGGGGTGGAGGGGCCCTCTGCCTGCGAGGGGGGCGACGATTGGCGGTGGACTTGACGGCGGGCCGAGAGGGAATTGCTCCTGAGAGATGTGAGCTTTGAATCAAGCGATTGCAAAGTTAGGAGGAAATACCTAGGGGCTGCTGCGGCCTTGTCTTTTGCCTGTCTGCCGCGAGGTGCGGGTGAGGGGGTAGCAGGGGCAGGACCAACTGCAAGATGGAGCTTGGGAGTGCTCCGCTGTGCTGCTGGTGCAGGCCTTGGTGAACGCTGCTGGGGTTGCTGACGCTGAGGAATGGGTTTGGAGAGCGAGAGAAGCCCGGGTGTCCTTGTTGGCTGAACGACGACGACGGCTGGTGGCGCTGACGGATGTCGACGGTGATGAAGGGCCGCGGGCGAGGGATGATTGAGCGAAAAATTTGGTTGTTTCTGGACGAGCATCATGTTTGCGAGGCAGAGAGGCGGGAGGAGGAGGAGGAACGTGGAGGAGAGCAGGCGATTGTGGTCGAAGGAGTGCGAAAAAGGTGTCAAATCGCTCTCACACTTGTTTGACTCTGTTGTTTTTAAGTGGCGCTCTCCCGCCACATGACTCCAATTCAGGAACATTCACCTCTTGTTCTCTGCATAATAGTCCATTCTACTGCTCTCCGTTGCCACTGCGCCGCATCCCTGCGCTCCCGACCCTACTCATTGTCCAGCTTTGGCTTTTTTTTCTGTGCACAATGGAGCCACGTTTCCTTCGTTTCCATCCCAAATTGCTGAATAAGCTCTTCCGGAGTCCGATCAATCACTCCACTTTCGCCTAACTCCCCCGAGATCGAGATCGCCTCCCGCTCCGAATCCAACCCACGAGGCGGTGCCGTGATTGTCGCCCTCCTCGACGCCTGCACGCACGCATGCACTCGTCCTCCGTGCACGAGCCAGAGTCTCTTCTCGCCGACACAAACGCAACCAAGACAACCTCGCGACGACCCACCCCAAAAAACATCGACATCAGACGTCGCCTTCTGACTTCGCAAGAGGCAACGTGAGCTTCTTTTCATCAACACGCCCCTAAGACCAAAATGGGCATCTCCCTTGCTTTGACATCTCCACCCCAACCCCCTGCTGCCCCACCCATAACTCAGAACTCTATGACACTTCCAGTACAGCTCTCTTTGGCGCGGCTCCTCTCGTCTCGTGCTAGCTTTGATTTCAATCTCTCTCTGAGTGTGGTTGTCCAGCCTTGCTGAGGCTTCTTAAGCTATGCATGCTTGCGCGATGTCAATGACAGTTCACGTTACGATATGCACTACATAACAACACGCAATCTATCCTTGTTGTCCTTCTCGAGCACCGGGTCGGCCCAGCTTTGACCGGTACAACGACCAACTCAACAATGCACAACGTCAAAGTGGCGTTCATCAATCACTTGCACGAAGTGTTTTGTCATTCTCCTCTACCCCAAGTCAGTAACTATTGTGTTCCACTCTTTCCTATCCGTGACACTTCCTCATGTCCCATGTCCACGTAGGTGGACTATGTACTTCGTTTTACCACACCAAGTCCCAACAAGAATAGCGGATATCTTGTCAATCTGCCTTGCTTTACCTCGGCGTATCCCACTCCGCGATCGTCGTTGGAAACTTGCCATCACTACCTTTTCCAACACCTTCTCCTCCCACACGCCTTTCGCCCTCTGCCCAAGAGTCCTGTTTTGGGTGTCCACGAGCAGGTAATGTTATCAGTGTCTCCGCGCTAGGCGCTGCGCAGCACATGTCAAAGATATCGTAGTTCAGTCATTCGTCCTCAGTACGTCCGCCTTGTTAAGTCGAGTCTGGTGTCGTGGACATCGATAAGGCCACTTAGCAAAGACATCAGAGCGAGTATAAGAAATCATTTCCATCGAGTGAAGTATGAAGGCCGACTAGCTTGGCCACTTGACTCTGCTTGACCGACGCACCTAGCACGATCACTGACACGAAATGTCAATTGAGGCAAGACTCGTAAGGCTCCAACCGTACTGTATCCGTATACGACCAAGGGCCTAGATATACGGATACAGTTATTTAGTGTGTATATACAGTATATATATGGTTATACGGTATGATGTAGACAGTTGTTATAGGGTCAGATCGAGCCATGCTTTCCGACCGGAACCTTGGGCTCGTTGACATCAAATAACCCCGACCGAATCCATACCTTCGACAACAGATCTTGACTGATTGTCTCGGCCTTCCAGGGGCTGCTGAGATCCGCTGAGATGCAGTGTGTCGTAATTTTGAGGAGGTGCGCTCGACGGATACAGTTGTTGCTGGTATGGCCAAAAAGTCTCGTAAAACTACCTAAAACTACCTCAAAATTTTGAGCAATAAATTATTATGCGGAGGACGACCCAAGGACGACCGATCTTCAATCAACCTGGACATGTAAGTTCGAAATTGCTTGCTTATGAAAGGGACATGTTCCCTGCATTGTCCAGGGTCTGACCTGACAGTCTAAATGGCTCTGCTCACAAAGAATGAGACTTGTCACTGAGATGTGTCAGAAGAACGCGCACAACGTGTTACAATTTTGGAGTAGCTCGCTGTGGACGATCTAAAAATAGGCCAAGCCCGATCCGAGAGGTGTTTTTGGTTACGCCTTGTCCAAAAACAGGCCTCGTTCTCTCGTCATTTGCTGACACCTCCTCGATTGCGACCTATCACTGCGAAATCAACCTAGGCCCCAGGAAAGCCACTGATTTACTGTACGGGAAAAATTAACAGTATAACCATATGCTATACTGTATATCTACTGTATAGGACAATTTTTCGAACAGGCCTATACATATACGTAAACATATACGGTACCTACTGTATATATATGGTAAATAGATAGTACGGTTGGAGCCTTAGGCAAGAGTCAGAATTTAGAAGCCATAATTGAATGGTGCTCTGATCTTGTGGAGACGAAAAAAAAAGATTTTATCTAGTATCTACATGAAAGTGACCGAGACAGGGGTCGAACCTGCAATCTCCTGATGCCGATAATTATAGCCAATAGATCATGGGTTCCTATCGTAGTCAGACGCGATGCCATTTCGCCACACGGCCATGATATTTCGCTCCTACCGAACCCTAAAGGCTTGCGCCGCGCTGGTGTCTGTCGCGAAGCTCGCAGGTGAAGTTAAATCAGCAGGGTAAGAGCACCTCTTCGTTGAATGGTGTGAGTGTCCATGAGGCCGTCCGTTACATATGCGAGGGGAGAAAGGCTGAGAGATCATACACTTATCCAAGGTCGACAAAGACAAGGTTCGCGATCCCGCCGAATTCGCAATACACAACTATGTGATTGAGCAAGCTGGCCATTCAAATCTACCCACAAAAGTAAACCTGTTACCATTTTCCCCCACAGCATGTTATGGGCCACAACTAGATTCACTATACAGCGTATCAAGCAAAAGCAATGCGCGTACAGATCGCTCAATTACAACTTGCCGGGAACGTTTAATTATCGCTCTCTTGAGTACATCCTATCCATACAGCTCAATACTCTACCGCAGGATAATCGGTATACCCAACACTAAGTGCAACCGCCATTTCGTCAGACCGTCAGGAATAGCACGAGGTTCTGCGACGAGACATTCCTGAGATAACCGATGAACCACGTCTGTAAGGGCACGTTGAATGTTGAATGCCGCAACGCCTCCGACGAGGTAGCTTTCGTTGTCACCATCCTTAGTGGCACGGTAGGCTTTGATCACACCTTAATCGGGTCTGAGTAATCTTTACCAAGATTAATGTGAGTGAGTCAGCATCTAAGAAAAGGGATCGGATTTGGTCCGACAGAGAACACGGTGGGCGACGCGAGTGAAAGACTGACCTCGACTTCTACGTTGCGATTGCAAGCGATGATCAAATGGTGCTTACGCCAACACAGCCACCACGTGTTGCCTCAATCGTTACGTAAATAACTTGATGTCATCACTTACCCCAGCAAGAGACGCCAGACTCCTAGCTTGCAAAACATGAGATAAGCTGAGAACCGCGCTATGGCCCGCAGAACAGCTATGTGGAAGCCTTTCATCAGAGAAGCGGTAGTGCCAGCGGAAATAGGGTGTACGATCACCAGCCAAGGGCAGTTCAAGCCAGATACGCGGGGGAGGTATTGACGACTGTGACTTGGATTTGTCCGAGAATTTTGATACACAACGCTGGTTTTACCGTATAGTAAAGCTATTGAGTTTTTGGGGCTTCCATCCAGTGACTGAAGGCAGTTTCTGAACGGGGAAAAAATTGGTATTTCAGTCAGAACATCGTCAAACGAAGCCTACTGGTCCCTACTTGGTTTGTAACGAGCAACATCCCGCGAGACGCCAAACGGGGTAAGCGAAGAGGCATCGGGTTTGTCCACTTATCGTTGACCTCCTTTTCGTCCGGTGGTTGCGGGTGGTATATGGCCGTCGTGACACGTCGTAGCTTCCCGAATACATCACCAGTTGTAAGCAGGTTGTCCAAGTCTTCCCAAAACTCCAACCGCACGAGATTATCGTAGTGATAAAAGGGATCGACAGTGATCCCCAAAGTGATTTCTTGAAGGTTAGGGCTTTCGGCCTGAGAACTAACAGCCCTCAAAGTATGAAGGACCCAGATGAAGGGCGGCATCGTTTCTCTGTGGTTCAACCAGTCCCAGATAGAGACCTCCAATGACCGTAGCCCCGGCGAGAGTGTGAGGGGGCTTGCTATGAGACATCGGGTTGACTTTAGTCAATTGAGCAAAATGGAAAGATACATACCTTCGGCCGCTTTGTGATCAGTCATAAAGTTACTAAACTTCGGGAAAATCCACACGAATCGCACCAAGGATGGGCTACAGAGCCCAAGGATATCTGCGACGGCACCGAGACCCGAGTCTCCGTCTGTCAGGACCAGTTCTTTTAACAATGATATATCCAACGCTGTGGATAGATGCTCCAGAACTGCGCCGGCTACCTCTGATGTAATCGAAAGGGAATGGGGTCGAGGTTTGTCTGGATTGGGTGCAGTCGGTATGACCGGAGGTGTTGAGGTTGGTTTCAAATACTCCGGTGGATCGAGTTCCGACCGGAACAGCCCCAAATCCGCGAGTTGGGAAGAAGAACAAAAAATTGTGGGAGGTACTTTCATATTCCGAAGCCGGATGCAAGTCAGGCTGGGCAACGTGAAGAGGCGGAGGAGAGAGGTTTGGAGAGCGGGACCCATATCGTTCCACTTCAAAAGTTTTGTGGTGCTGGAATTGAGATAAAGGAGTTGCAACGCTGGCAGCATATCGAGGACCTGAGGAAGCGTTGGTTCGGTCAAGGCCCACATAACCCTCTGCATCTTAGGCTCCATCTGCGTCGTCCACCCGTTCTGGATGACAAGTGTACGGATGAAAGAAGCAAGATGAGGCGATTGTGTAAGGACATTATGAAGTCTCCGGCATCGGGATGCGCCCTTGTATGAAGAGAAGTGGATATTCGAGAATAGACGGCTTTGGCAAGGTGTCACGAAAGCGCGGGAAAGCCTTGAACATCGTGACAAGAACAACCAATCCGCATCTGAGTCGAGAGGTAGGTGTTCGACGATTTGAATGAGTATCTCCAAGGGAATTGGAATAGTGAGCACCATGGGAGTCGGTGTGGTGTCTAAGCAACTCTACTTTCCATCTCCGATAGAAGTCATCGATGCCGACCGCAAACATCGACTCATCTATAACAGCGACTTGCAACAAAAACTCCTCGCTGCTTCGATGTCGTTTACGGCGATTCCTCAAGACATCTTCAGCTGCATCCTAGATGAACTTCCAAAGCACGATCACTTGACTCTAATGGCATGCTCTACGGTCGCTCGTTGTTTCGTAGAACCATGTCAAGCCCGACTCTTCCGACAAATCACCATCTCCACTCACGTAGGTCGATGTCGAAGGCTGCGCGAAGTCCTTACACGAAGTCCACATATTGGACATTACATCCGGATCTTGATTCTGGAGCCCCACAGGTCGACGCGAGCAGTGACTTTTACTATCAGTTTCATCTTTTGCGAAGAAAGACTTCCACCGCTTCTTGACTTGCTCCCTATCGGCAGTCTGAGAGCTCTCCGTTTGAAACTTCCTCCGGGAGAACCCTGGGCACTTATAGATTGGCAAAAATTCTCGCCCGAACTACAGGTCTCCTTCCTTCGCATCTTGCAATCGCCGAACCTCAGCACGGTCGAGCTTGAACAGTGCCTTAGAGTCCCCCTTATCATTTTCTCTCGCATAAGGCAGCTCAGAGAGCTACTGCTACCAGGGTCCGAAGTCATCTACGCGGAACCCGTTCCCAGTGAACATGACATCGCATTCGATAAACCTCGCATAGCCTCACTCTCGATGAGCGCCGGGCCACGTCAACGATCACTTCTCAAAACCCTATCCTCCACGATGGACCTAACTCACCTGCAAAGGCTCACCTTGGAGGATTTCGATGACGAAATATTCACCAGTTTGGAACTAAAGAGACTGTGTGGCCCAACGCTACAACGGCTCAAGTGGAAGGTCGAAGGCAACCTCCATTCTAATTTTACCAGTGCGTTGATACACCAGCCTGACGTTCTAGGTTCTCCGTTGATGTGTTCAACAGACACGCATCAGATAGGCCTGAGTATCTCCCCAACTCTACGATCATTGGAGGTTTGGGGTTTGGGTGTAAAAGACTCGGGTTTGACCCCGATCCCTTGGTCACTTCAGGCCTTGAGAGGTCTCATAACGCACCCTAGCAAGTCTTTCCTGCTGGAGGATCTCACTATAAGGCATCTCGCTGAATCCACGGATCTGAAGGAAATGTATCAGCTGTGGGGTGGATTTGATGAGGTGCTTTCTAATCTTGAAGTATTTCCCTGTCTCAAGCGGGTCGTCACCATCTCCGCATGGCTCAACGGAAATGAGCTAGATCCGAGGAGGGAGCATAGGTCTCAGAAGCTATACATTGGAATGATTTTGAGGAGTCTACCGCGCCTCCACGCCCGGGGCATATTGAATACGACCGTGTGCCCACGCGTCGCTTATGGTTAGGGACTTGGACAGACCAGTTACAGTGCGTATACTCATTAGCAGCTTCTGTTCGCTCTAAACCATGTCCTCTCGCAGAATTACTAGACCAGTAGAGCAATCAATGCACCAACTTTTTCACTTTTATCGCATCCTTACAACCGACCTCCGGCTGTTCTCGACTGTTTATACTCAATCTACTGTAAATTACTGCCCAACACGAGACCGTCGAAACATTTGAAAACATGATACATATAGAGTACAAGCTCCTACACAAGCCAGCGGCTTAGTAGTGGGCCAGAGAATACTAAGTTGTCTTTGCCCCACTGCAAGTGCTTAATGTCAGGATATTATCGGGGGGCTTAAGTATAGTATCGTCTCGACGTCTAAGACCCAAATTATTCAGCGCGTGGACAGATAGTGAGAGTTACATTCTCGCCATGCAAAGCGATAACCGCCAAGGTATTCTGTGCCTGGCATGTACATCGCTCCTACTCTGGTGCAAATCGGCTTTCACCACGAGCGCGCCCAGCCACGCCAACCACGCATTAAAGATGAATGTAGATTGAGAAGGTAAGAAAACGAGTCAAATAATTAACTACCCCGGCTCTGTACGTTGATATCCCATCCATGCATATTATGTCTACTAGTATGTGACAATCTCTAAGCGAGCAGCATCTTCCTGGGGTCTTCGAGATAGTCCTTGACTTTCACTAGAAATAATACGTGAGTCTCACAAGGATCACAAACGTGGAAGGGGTGGAGACGTACCAAGGAAAGTAACAGCTTCCCGACCGTCCAACACGCGATGGTCATAGGTGAGAGCGACGATCATGATCGGACGAATGACGATCTGGCCATCCACGACTACGGGCCTGTCTTTGATGGTATGCATGCCTGTGGTTACGTGGAGAAACAACGCAAATAGGAAGGCGAGAGTCATGGTCAACTGGATGTACGCTGACTGTAACGGGGAGACGCACCAAGAACAGCGGTTTGAGGCAAATTGATGATGGGGGTACCGTACAATGATCCAAATACACCGCCGTTGGAGCTGTGAAGGGATATT